AATAAACACACACTAGCAAGACTAAGAAACACGACTCCCCCACACTTGAACAGAGCATTGTCCTCAATGCTCAAACACGAGGGATATGAATTTTTTTTTTTTTTTTTTTTTTTTTTTTTGAGCTTTCTTATTTGGTTACTATTTGTAATTTGTCAAAAATGATTCCAATGATGCTTCATTTTGATGGAGGGATACTTAGGTCGTTGGACTAAATACCCTCAACCAAACAATATTTATAAGCCTACACCTACACTAAAAAAGTTTAGTGGTAAGTAGAGGGTCGAACCACAAAGACGGCATAAACACTATCAACACTACCACCAACTAAGCTAGGTCGAAGAGATAGGATGAGTGAACTAACACAAAAAGGAAAACTAACAAACCAAGAATTAAAATCTAAGAAATAAAGACACTAAGGAATGGGGTTCACTCAACCATGGAAATCAAGAAAATTGGGAGTAACAAAGATTTTAGAAAGTAAGGACTACATGTAAGACCAACTTCAAGCAATAGGAAAACAACTCATATTACTAAGCTTAGATTCCTCATTAACTTAGCAACAAGAGATACATAGTCAAATTGCAATAGGTAATGAAACATTCAACTCACATTTCCATGTCAAACCAAACATTTCGTGCCATCAAGTTCAATAATCAAGGTTAGCTACTCCTATCATGAAGAACTAGCAAGCAATCTCATATAATCAATTTAATTACAATCAATCACCAAGACATCCCCCAAAATCACTTAAATAACCATTAGGTTGAGTTTCACCCAACCCCTAAATAAAAGAACTACTCACTAAGCATGGTTAAAACTAGCTAATCAAATAATCTAAAATCAAACCAACAATCAAGAACAATGAAGAGCGACAAAAAAGAGCAATTTAATCAACTACACTAATCATTCTAGAAATTAAGAAAAGCAAGAATTAAATAAAGCAATAAATGAGATAGAGTTTAGAATGCTCATTAGATTTATGAAGAGTAATCCAAAACAATGTCACTTTGCATCTTCATCTTCTTCAATCCTCCATTAAAGCTCTTCACTTTCTCTCTCTAAACTACCCTAAATTACTATTAATCTACATTACAAAGTATAAAAACAAAGATTAAAACTAAATCTAAGCCTAATTTATGTGAAGATTGATGGAGAGATGTTAGGGTTTAACCCCTCAAAGAGGAGAGAGAAAACCCCAAAGAAACCCACAATCAAAACTTGGCCAAAAAGAGGAGAGGAGGAAGCGTTTAAAAGACCCGTAGCTGCTCGTGCGCGCCCGCGAGAGAGGCCTGCGCGCCCGCGCACTGGGATTGGCCTAGCAGCGACATTCATTTTCAAACGGCCATAACTTCTGTTCTAGGAGGCTTCTGGGGGCGCGCAACCTACCGTTGGAAAGCTCTTCAAGTCTAGTTTTCAATGCAACTTGAATCACCTCAATCCGATTTTTAGATCAAAAGTAATGGCCAAAACAGTGAGCAAAGGGCGGTCTGCGCGCCCGCGCGAGCCATCTACAGAATCTTTAACACTTCATACACCATTTGCCTTTGTCATCGAATTGCTTGTGCACTCTTTCTCGAGGATCGTGTCAGGCCTCCCGAACGGGCTCCTGAACCTTCCGAGGTTTCCTATTTTCCCGATGTCCACCTCTTTGGCCTATAAAACACAAGGAATAACACTAAAATAGCACAAATAAGAAACTAAGAGGGGAATACGAAGGGATTAGCGTAATGATCGGAAAAACGGGGAAGAACGAGCGAAATAGGCTTAAACAAGCGACAAGCGTAAGGAAATGACATGGAATTGAGGCCTAAATAGTGGCATAAATGCCACTTATCACCAATCAACGAGTTGGCCGGATCCTAATTGATACCGGGAGCTCGTCTGACCTGATAAGTTACCAGTGCTTGACAAAGCTCAAGTACAAGCCCAACAACATGCACACGGCCCCTCACCCTTTAGTTGGTTTTGGGGGAGGAGTGGTGCATCCGATGGGAAGGATTGACCTACCCATCCGGCTGGGTGAAAAGGGCGAAGGGCGGCATATGGTTGTCAAGTTCCTAGTGGATGAGGAACTGACTGCCTACAATATGATTTTTGGCCGTCCTACCCTCAACGAGTCAAAAGCAGTCATCATCCCGTCTCTCATGCTGATCAAATTTGAGAAGGATAATGATACAGTCGGTTCCCCCTGAATGGGGACCAGAAGACGGCTAGAGAGTTTTATCTCTCAAACGTCAAACCAACTATGGCTTCAGCCGGTCATGGCAAGGAGCTCCTATAACTTGATAACTGTGATCAGGTAGTGCCGGCTCTAAGGGAAGCCGGTAAGAAGAGAAAGGTGGACCAACTAGCACCCGTAAAAAAAGAAACACAATTGCAATCACTGATCGAGGAATGGCCGGATGACCTCCGTCCTCAGCTGGGAGGTGAAAGTGTTGATGTCGTCCTTGACGACAGCCGTCCTGATCGAACCGTCAAAGTTGGGACGGTTGCTTTTGAAATATTGGGAGCAGACTTGCTCCAACAACTGAAGGAGTTCAAAGACATCTTTCCCTTTGAGGTGGAAGAGATGTCAGGCGTCAGCCCGGATCTTGCTGTCTATAAACTCGCCGTGGATCCCAAAAAGATGCCGGTTAGGCAAAAGAAGAGGAATCAAGGAGAGGAAAGATCTCAGGCGGCAGCCGCCGAGGTCAAAAAATTGTTAGATGTTGGGTTCATTCGGCAATGCTATTACCCGGATTGGGTAGCAAACGTTGTCCTAGTGAAAAAGCCGAATGACACCTGGCGGATGTGTGTAGACTACACAGATCTGAACAAGGCATGTCCAAAGGACAGTTACCCGCTTCCAAAGATCGACATCCTTGTCGATTCTACAGCCGGTCATGCCTAGACGAGTTTCATGGACGCTTACTCATGCTTCCATCAGATACCCCTGTGGAAGAAAGATCAAGAGAAGACGGCATTCGTCACTGATCATGGGTTGTATTGTTACACGGTGATGCCGTTTGGGTTGAATAATGCGCCTACTACTTTCCAACAAATGATTAACACAGTTTTCATCAATCAAATTGGATGGAATGTAGAGGCGTATATTGATGACATGATAGTCAAATCCAAACTACAGACGGTGCACCTAACTGACCTCCGAGAAACCTTCACCACCCTCAAGCGGCACAAGGTCATGCTTAATCCCAAGAAGTGCGTCTTTGGTGTTGAGTCTAGGAAGTTTATCGGATTTCTAATTGATCAAAGAGGCATAGAGGCCAACCCAGAAAAGGTATAGGCGGTAATTGACATGCAGTCACCCCGCACTATCAGAGAAGTCCATAAAGTTACTGGTTGCCTAGTGGCATTGGGGAGATTCCTTAGCCGGTTAGGCGACAAGTGCCTCTGTTTCTTCCAAGCAATTAGGAAGAGGTCCATATTTGAGTGGGGTGAAGAGGCTGAGGCGACATTTCAGTGGTTAAAACAACACTTACACTCTTTGCCAAGGCTAGTGAGCCCCATGCCTCAGGAGGTTCTCTACATGTACCTAGCCGTCTCAGATCACTCCCTTAGTGTTGTTCTCCTTTTTTAGAGAGACGTCAATTAGCTCCTGGTGTATTTTATCAACCATGTTCTCAGAAATGCTGAGCTCCAGTACCCAATGATCGAAAAATTTGGGCTGGCCTTCTACAAAGCAGTCAAGCGGTTGAAGCCCTACTTTCTGGCTCATCCGGTGATTGTATATACTGATCAGCCACTTAAGCGTCCAATGACTACTATAGAGTCATCCGACAGAATGATCAAATGGGCTGTTGAAATACAAAGCCTGGAGATAACTTTCGAACCTAAGCGGGCAGTGAAAGGTCAGGCGTTTGTCGACTTCATTGTCGAAATGACTAGGCCGGTACAGCCGGAAAATGCTGATGAGGTTTGGAAGTTATTCGTTGACGGAAGCTCTACAATGAACGACTGTGGTGCAGGCGTAATTTACCACTCCCCGGAAGGGGATAAATACGAATATGCACAACGGTTCAAGTTTCAAGCCTCAAATAATGAGGCGGAATATGAGGCCCTGCTAGCTGACATTCGCATGTGTAAGGCGACAGGGGCAAGAAAAGTTGACGCCTACTCTGATTCTCAATTGATCGTCAGTCAATACCATGGTGACTATGAGGCCACCCATCCGGCTATGATCAAATATCTGCAGGCGGTCAGAGAGGAGGCTGGGACACTTGATGAATTAAATCTAAGTCAAGTGCCGGGGTCCAAAAATAACCAGGCGGATGCACATTCCAAATTGGCATCATCCGCCTCCTGTGATGCGTCTAGGTTAGTCTTCTATGAAGTCATGGAAAAGAGAAGCATTAAGCATGATCCCATTGCAATTCTGGACCGAAGCTCCACCTGGATGGGACCAATTCGGGCTTATCTGACAGACGGTACTCTGCCGGATGTCCCTTCCGAAGCGGCTGCTCTTAAGAAACGAGCTTTAAGCTTCTTAATGCACCAAGGGGAACTCTTTCGCAAGGGTTACCTCCAGCCGTTGCTGAAGTGTGTTACTCCAGAAAGGGGGAAAGAGGTTCTAGAGGATCTGCACGCGGGTTTTTATAATTTGTCTCAGCAGATATACAAATCCAACTCTAGCTTATAGAAAAGAAAAGAAAGAAAAGAAAAAAAAAAAAAAAAAAAAAAAAAAAAAAAAAAAAAAAGGGAAGTATGATGGTATAGAGTACGTAACTATATGCAATTATGTTTAACATAGTTATAATGGTGCATTCTTGTGGCGGTAATTTAAACAACCATCACGGCACTTGAAATGATCAATTAACCTTCGAAAGAGGGAAAACGACCGCTAGCTTCATGAGAAAATGTCTACCTAATTCAGCAATTCATTGACAGGAAACTACATTTTGCACAAAATTCAAGTTGTAATATGGCTCATAATAATGGTCTCAATATTTGTTTGATTGACAAGATAATATGACTAATTTTATAGCAGTGATGTCAATTTAAGGTGAAATAGCAAGCAATCGATGTATGCATTTCATATCAAGGCCAAAAAACCTGAAAATCATCTAGACAAACATATGTTCACATGGTATGTATAGTACACTGTACAAGTTACAATGTTAAACTTGTAGATGGTATCTAGGCCTAACGGAACAACGTCTAACTCCTCCTATTACCAGCCGTACTATTTGCTTGATCAATTTATAGAAGAGGCGAATGACATGCCCGAGGATAAGTAGTCCTAGCAAGAAAATCCAAGCAACACTCGCAGTAATTATTGTGTTTTGAACAAGATGATGATTTTTGCTCGATATCAGATCTTCTTTAAAGGAGTTTAGGCTCTCTTTGGAGGTCCCAAGGAAGTAAATAGAGGATATGTAAGTCATGGTTGTTGCTGTTACCGCGATCCACATGGTTAACATCAAAAGTCCCATGACGAGCCTCATACAAGGGAGTCCACTTATAAGAAGAACTATGACAGTTAAAGATGAGACTAGTCCTATTGTGTTGGAGACGAGGAATGCATCATATATTCCTTGGTTATGTTGTTTTCCTTCCTCGATATGTGCCATTATCGATGTACCTGCCTTATGACCATCGTTGTTATCTTGCCATACGCCTCCAGGAGGGTTAATTCCGGCTTGGAAAGCCATAGTGGCTATTAGTGAAGACACCACCATAAGAGCAGTACGTTGCTTATCCAACCAATCGCGACTGCTTTTTTTAGGTTTTAACAATTTTTTTGCTTCTAACACTTTGGCACGCCTTAAGGCTAACCAAATTCCGCCATCACGAGCCTCTTTCTTACTTTGGATGTACATGTCCATTGCTGTTAAGCCATTAGTGTTGATTGCGTTTTTCTCCGTCCACTTTTCCTTTAGTAAGAGCTTTATAGTCTACACAATTTATATGTTAGTCAAAAGTGCAAAGTTTATGTTAGGCATAAGTATTGCAGTTTTAATATATAGAAGACTTGAACTAAGATCGATGCTGCCTTATCAATATATCTTCACTTCATTTTGTACTCCGTATTAAATTGAATAAATTTTTGCGAATAAACTTGTTCTAAAATGAGCTAATTAATTAAATTGAATTTTTTTTTTAAAATACATCTTCAAATATATCAAATTTTTAATGATTTTACTAAAAATTTATTAAATATACAAATAAGCAAAATTGTCCATTAGCACATGTACCAATCAATCCGATGCACTTATTCACATGCAGCGATTCAAGACTTGTTAGATATGCTAGCCTGTTTTTACTTCCAGTCTTAAAAACAAATATCTAGTGTGGGTTGAGATAAAGAATTTCCATGGTCGTTTTCTAAGAATAAAACAAAACGAGTACACATAATTACATATACAACTCATACAAGTTAGTGCACACGTCATTAAGACTTATTCCTTAACTAAGGAACTGAGGCAACCATTTATTGGGGGAATTTGTACTATGGCAGCTGCCGTTTTCATGATAGCAAGATGTTACCCCTACTAAATATTTAAATAAAATAAAATTGGATTAAAATAATTAATGAATTCGTTACACGTAAACCAACTATTGAAGTAAGACTAAAATACAATGTTACCAAACAAACCGTTGTTTATGTAGTTTTTTATTTTACACTAGCTACCTTCCATGGTTAGACTATTATGCACAAATTTATTTATGTATCAATATATTTAATTATGTATTAGTAAGAATTAAAAAAATTCTAAATGATTCAGTAATACGAATAAAAGAATAAATGATCATACTGTAACAATTTTTTTTATTGGCGTAGATAGAGTCACACAATATAATTAAATGTAGATGGTAAATGCAGGTCTTAGGTACACCTTTTAAGACTTTAATTAGCTAAGTTATTTGATGTTTGTGTTAGCGACAAATTTGATCAAACTAAAAAATACTAATATAATATAAACCATTTTTTGAGACGGAGGGAGTACCTCGTAATGTTTTGCAGCCACTGCTAGGTGTAAAACGGTATTACCATCGCTGTCCTTGGAGTTAAGCAGTTGACCATCTCCCATTGTTTGTACCAAAAATCTAAGTACCTCTGGCTGACTATGTTTCATACACAAGTGCAAAATACTTTCACCGCTAGTAGTCCGCTCTCGCGCAGCCTGTGGCTTGGCCCTAAGAAGCTCTTCAACCACTTGAAATTGACCGTATATAGCCGCAACATGGACTGCGTTCCTACCATCTATATCGCGGGCGAAACACATGTTTGGATTTGCAGTTAACAACACACTAACTATCTCCAAGTACCCTTTCGCCGAGGCCATGTGTAGTGGTGACCATCTTTTTAGTTGATCAAGCTCTTCTGCTAGCTCGGGCTTTCGATTTAAAACCTCAGTTGTAAACTCTAAGTACCCGAGATTAACGGCCACATGTAATGGTGACTGCATAAAACGGCTTGATTTCTCGATGATGCATCGATCGAGGATAAGTGGATCTTGTTGGAGCAAGTTGCGCAACGATGGTACGTCTCCTGTAAGTGCTGCATCGTATAGCCGAGTTGTAAGCAGCTCAAGTCTTTCTCCTTGTTGTGCTTCCATCTTTTACAACAAGAATTTTGAGGAAGAATGTAAGGGGTTGATATAAGGTGGAAGGCTATAATAAGATATTTTTTTTTTTTTTTTTTTTTTTTTTTTTTTTTTTTTTTTTTTTGGAGGAAAGGCTATAATAGGCTTTGATGTATAGAGTTTTGATATAGTATTTTCATCTTTGAATTGTATTGAAAGACGGTATGGTAGTGAACAAATTAAATTGAGAGATTAATGTTGATAAAATTGACTTTTTGTTTGTCTAAAAGTATTTTGATACAATATTTATAGTCGGTGTAGTAGAATAAATTATTGTTCATTATATGTAAGGTTTGCCTTTTGCATTAAGTAAAAAAAAGTATAGCTATATTACATTTATATTATATATGAGTAAAACTTAACTTTAACTGTGTAATAAAAGTTACCTTAAAAAAGTCATTGTACAATCAAATTATTGTACTCTCATTGCATCCAAAAGATTTTTATGAATAGGATGATCAATGGTATGTTATAAATTTGCAAGTAGTTTTATAATAGTCAAATAATACGGTAGTCGTTGTTATGAAAAGGCCGTAAATATGCAATACTAAATAAGGACTAACAAAAATTTAAGAACTTTGTAGTCTTTTTATCTACAAAAAATAAAAATTGATTTTAAAGTCTTTTTCAGTATATAAGCAATAAAAAGACATCTAACATTTTTGCTAATTCTTATTTTTCAATGAAGCAGACCCTGGGGGAAAAAAAAAATTACAAGGGCGATAATTTTGAAATGTATTTCCTTACTAGTTCTTGTCAAAGAGAGCTCAATTAAAGAAGTGGCGTAATATTTAGGGTTGTACACCGGTCCAAAATCGGACTGGACCTGGATCGGATCTGTTGGGACCGGGACCTGAATTAGTGAATTTTGAGGACCGGAGACCCGACCTGATTCAACAGGTCCGGTTTCGGGTCAGACCTGAACAATCAGGTCCGGTCCGGGTTTGGACCTGAACAGACCTGTTTTGTATTTTTTCGTTTTTTTAATAACTAACCTGTTGGACCTGCATATGGACTTGTTATGATAATTTTAAACCTGTTGCATAATTTAATAATTACATAATCTCAAATTATCAATCACAAAATTACATGAATTCTATAAAATCCCAATTCTCAAACACAAAAAAATACTAAAAAATTAACAAATAATTCATAATTACATACTCTAAGTCTCAAATACTAGAAATACATAAATTCTCCAAAGACAACTTGAATTTTTACGAGTTGATTTCCCTTCTGTGTGATCCACACTAATATGAGTCCACGAAAACAACTTCATCGTATACATCGTTAGATTCGTCACGTTGCACCTCCAAATAAAAAACAATATAGGATATACTAGAATTTATTAATGAATGATAACAATGAAATAATAAATTTGTACATAAAATTAATACTACCTTTTCTCTATTTCCTCTAACTCTTTCAAAGTTAAAAAACATCAACGATTGGCACTCCCTTAGCTCTAAGCCAATCTTGTGTGCAAAGTAGCGTTTGAACCATCTTCAATACAAAAGTATTACATAAATATGTATAAACAAAGTCATATTTAGATATAAACAAACTTGATTTTATAAAATAAAAAGATAAAGATGCATTACCTTAGGAGTTAAAGAACTCCGAAATGGATCTAGAGTACGACCTCCCGTACTAAAAGCAGATTCCGATGCAACGGTCGACATGGGATGGCTAGTATGTCATGTGCCATGCGATTAACAATCAGATAACGCTGACCATTCTTACCCCACCAAGTCAATACATCTTGTTCTTCCTCCTCCGGCACTAATTGATCATTTAAGTACCTATCCAACTCACTTATCGCATACCCACTTGTCCCCTTCAATCGTTTTGCTCCTTCTTTTTAGTTTTTTTTCACATAATCGGAACGCACTCCTATACTATTATCAACATCCATTGACATATTTATCTCCACATTCTCTAGATTGGGTACTTTGAGGAATATTAGAAGCATACATTTTTCTATATTCCTCAAATAACAGTGTAAGTGAACTCCTTCACATCAATTAGCAAGTTTTCACACCCTTTTCTGGTCTTATGCATATCCGTAAATGTCAATTACAACAATGACCATCTTAGAGTGAGGGTCGAGAAGAAGAGCAACGTAAATGAACTTATTCATTTTATCCACATTCCCCCAATACTTATCAAACTTTTTTTTCATTGCAATGGCCATAGCTTGAAAATTCAAGTCCCCTACTTTGTTCCCAATTATTCAACATATCATACATAGAAGCAATTTCACCTAAACCTTTATTAGCTGTCACAATAATGGGAACCAGAAATTTGTTTAGTCAACACATAAAACCCCTCTAGAAACAATACCAACCTCTCCACTTTTTTCCCAATCTTTGGGTTCAGGAGGCCTTTCATTGTCATTCAAATCCTCTCCATCAGGAAGAGATAACCCACTAAAAACATGTTGAAACTTCAAAGCCATTTCTAACATTATGTATGTGGAGTTCCAACGAGTGGGGACATCAAAGGATAAAGAAGATTTTTGAATCTATGTTCGCTTTTTTGCACAAGATCTTTGAATCCAAGTATTCTTGATGGGGAACTCTTAACATATTTCAAAGCATTTCTAACTCTATCAATGCACACACCATGCTGTCTAATACCATCCCCACATTCAATTAAATTAATGGTATGAGCAATGCATCTAACATGAAGATTTTTTCCATCATTAACACATCCTGTTTCTTCTAACCATTCTATTCAAGTGTGCACAAGCAACATCATTTGAAGAAGAATTATCAACAGTGACAGTAAAAAGTTTATCATCAATACCCCAATACACTAAACATGCCTCAAACTGCTTTTCCAATAGCCTCTCCTTATGACTAGAAATTGGACAAAAATTTATGATCTTTTTATTCAATTTCTAGTTATTATCAATGAAAATGAGCCGTAAGACACATACAATTAATTCTTTTGTATTGAAGTCCAAGTATCAGTGGTCACTTAAATTCTTTGACATGTCTTAAACATTTCTCTCAATTTCACTTTTTCACTATAATACAACTTTAAACAATCACGAGCAATGGTAACACGAGATGGAATGTGAAATTGTGGACATGCAACTTGCACAAAGTGCCTAAAACCAGATTTTTCCACATGCTTAAATGGTAACTCATCAACAATAATCATGTGAATCAATGTCTCTCTAACATCATTCAAGTTAATAATCCTACTCCCACGCTTTAATTCACCACTCTCATGTTCTTGATCAAAATACAATTTAGTTTGCTTTTCTTTGCCCTTTTCTTTCTCTATATTAACATGATTACCAAGACATGATTCAGCATGGTTTTTAACATTTTTTTGAACCATTAAGATTACCATCAGCAGCAAAAGTTTTTAGGATAAAACTTACATTCAGCTCGTAGTTTTCCATTCTCGACATACTCTAAGTAATATTTCTAATACTCAGCTTTCCTCTTACTTTTTTTGCTCCATGTATATTCTCGCCCCGCTTTAGCTTCTAGTCGGAGGCAAAGTAGATTGCAATTCTTCCATATCCTTTTCAGAAAGTGGCTGTGACATTTGTTGAGAAAAAGCAACAGACCTTTTAGATTGAGAGCTCTCCATCTACAATATAATTGTATACAATATAAGTAATTTTTAAGTAACAATTATAAACACATACCATTTTTATAAAAAAATTTGAGATCAACTTACATTGCAAGAATAAGAATCCGTGGTTCCTTGTTGATCCTAAACATATAAAACAATAGAATTCAATAACAATTCAAAAAAAAAAATACATACACTGTAAAAAAAATAAAAACAGAAAAATCTTTCTTTTGAGGTTAATTATTTGTGATACATGACAATGAACAACAGGTTAAATTATTATATATATATATACAAGTTAAATTAGTTACATCAAGTTAAATTATTATAAAAAAAATGCATACAATGTAAAAAAAATAAAAACAGAAAAAACGGAAATTAAACTCACAATTCGAAAGAAACCAAAATTCAACAAGAATTCGAAACAAATGAACTAAAAGAATTCGAAAACAGTTATTTAAACTCAAAAAAACCAAAAAAAAAAAAAAAATGAATTAGAAAGAAATGAACTAAAAAAAAAATAATTCAACATGCAACATCAAACAATCATTATAAGCAATTAAAACATGAATAAACATATAAATTCTCACACTTAATTCATTAATTTCGAATACAAAATACCCAAACATAATTAGATTTACATTAAAAAAAAAAAAAAAAAAAAAAAAAAAAAAAAAAAAAAACAAACTTACAATGCCCGGAGTTTTCGCGCGCGGTGGCTGATGCAGCATGCAGAAAGGGTTTTCGCACTGGTGGGCGGTGGGCATCTGGTGTCTGGTGGTCGCCTGAGGGGAGCGTGCAGCCGGTGCAGGTGCAGGGTGCAACGTGAGGGTGTCGGCTGAAAGAGTGAGGGGGTTAGGGTTAGAAATGAAAACTGATTACTTGTTTTGATTTTTGAAAAAAAAAAAAAGCCACACAATTTTACAGGGTTTCAGGTTCGGACCTGAAACCCCGGTTTTAGACCGGATCTGGATTAGAACCGGAATCCCTGAATTTCATAGACCGGGACCGAACCTGAATCTACAGATCCGCTCCCAACAGGTCCGGTTTGGGTCGATTTTCAGGTCCGATCCTGTTTATGTACACCCCTAGTAATATTGATGAGTTTATTGACGGAGTCCCTAATACTATTAGCATTAGTTTAGACCTTGTAGTACTCTACTGTTGTCCTGCACTAAAAGTCTAAAATAAAATATTTTATTGTAATACAAAGGTTTTTTACTTGCTATTTGGGCTTTATTAAAGGCTTTACTCTTAAATGGACCTGGTTCACACTAATTTATTGTAGACCACTAACATTAGAGACAATGTGGTTGTTTTATTAATAAAAACAGTCACAACATTAAAGTAAAAGTTATTATGTTCAAATAAAAGTCATTTTGGTATTATAAAGGCTATAAGAGGGTTTTTTTAATGAAATATTTTATATACTGATTAATATGAATAATAAAAGTCATTGTGTTTTAAAATTAAGATCACCGTGTTAAAATTAAGATCATTATATTCAACGTAATGTCGTACTTCAGGTTTACAATAATATTAAGGATTTTTTTGCAAAATAACACCACAAAATTGTCACGATTAGGATTATAACACCACAAAAAAAAAAAAAAAAAAAAAAAAAAAAACAAAAAAAACCTTTAATTATAACACCACAAAAAAAAAATAAAAAAAAATAAAAAAAATAAAAAAAGAAATCCAAAAATTGATTCCACCACCACTTAACGGATTTTTGGATGGCTCCATTAGTCGGACCCACCACTTACACATGTCAGTATTTGCATTGGT